TAAAATAGAGTTTATTGAAAAATGTTCTTAAGCAAAGCAAAAGCGCGTGGTACTATGATAAGCGAATCAAGCAAGCAAGACATCGAGCGATGTAATGTTATTGTTGAGTTACAAAAAACTTGTTGTTTTCTCTTACAACAATGAAAATGTTTGACTTATTTAGATCTTAAAGTTTATTAAATTTTTGAATTCGATAATTGCTATAATCGGTAATGTACATGTTCATTGATGAGTCGAATGCAATGCCTCTTGGTCCATTCAATTGTGTTGCTGCACTACCAGATACAACATTGCCAGCAATTGTAATACCTATCGAACTATTAGGACAAAACATTTGTACTCTATTGTTGTTTCTGTCGGCCACAAATACATTCTGATAGATATCGATTTTGACGCCCATCGGATTACTTAACAATGACGAACTGGAGCCTGTTAAACCTGAAATACCAGCTATTAACTCACCTGATGAAGCACCGGGAATCCATCGCATCAGTGTGTTTCCATCATAGTTTGTTATATACATATAATTACTTACTGATGGAAGATAATAGATTCCCCATGGAGAATTCAACTGATTATTATTGTTACCGGCTCCATTCCCACCAGCAACAAGTGTTCCGCTATCTCCTGTTGTTGAATTCGTTAAATAGCGCATAATACGATGGTTATTATAATCTGTAATATACATATATGTTTCTGTTGGATCGAAAGTAAAATATCGAAGACCATTAAATTGATTGAGTGAGACGCCGCTTGAACCAGATATTCCAGCAATGGTTTGTCCAATTGTTGATTGATTCGCAAATTTTTGGACGCGACTATTATAATAATCAGTCACATACATATTTGATTGTGAATCTACATAAACATCTTGCGGAAAATTGAATTGATTAGTACTGGAACCAGCTGATTTTATTACTCCAGCTACGAGAACAGCAGTTGATGTACTTTTTGGCAATTTCCACAAAACCTGATTCGACTGCTCATCCACAGTATATAATGTATCATTTGAATCGATAAAGAGACCGCAAACAGACGTCAGTTGCGATGAACTAAGTACTGTTATGCCTGTTGTATTCCATCGTAAACCATTCGGTGCACCTCAAAATACAATATTCTCACATTATAAACGAGACAGCAGTTATTGAAATACTTCTCGAAGTCTTCAGAAATCTCAAAAGATAAAGAATGTTCCGTTTCACACAATATATGCGTTATATCTCGATTTATGATGTGGTCATCGTAAAAAGAAATCAGCTGAATGAGTTGTGGAAAATTAGAGTAAGAGAACTAACTCAGGACCAAGTTTATTTGATAGGCTAGTCCATAATGATGTAGATTTTAATAAATTCTCAATATAATAGGCATAACTACGTCACAATTTTCCTCGATCATGGGTCACATAACGATCCCAGTGCGACCATAAGTGAGATGTAATTCGATCGTAATTGAACTCATAAGTAAGCACGGTAGGTCTTAGACTCGTTGAATTTACCTTCCTAAAAGCTCTTCTTGATTTTAAAGGAAGATACTTTTCTTCGACTGTTTGGAAATGTCAAACTCTCATATATTATGATTCTAATCGATTGACTTAAACGATCATCAGTCAGAAAAACTAGTTAAATGCTAGAGTTTTTGTGGATTTCTTGATCAGACTAACTAAAAATTTACTCGCTTACATGGATTTTTTGATGTGGTAGTTGTAGTATTGGTATTTGCGGTGCTGTTGATATTGTTCGGGGTGCTGTTGCTGGTGTTCGGAGCGCTGCTGATGTAGTTCGTGGTGCTGTTGATGTTGCTCATGGTGCTGTTGATATTGTTCAGGGTGC